TGATTTTTATAAATCTGCAGAGATATAGTTTTGCCAAACATATAGAATGTGTAGTGGTAAAGCTAATTGAGAAAAAATAAAGATTGATTCCTCGACATTATTTTGAAATCTCGATTCACAATTGCAATATTTTTTCTAAATTATATGCATAGTTTTTATTACTGTTTGTATAAATATTATTTAACAATTTATTTTTGGTAATTAAATGTATATATCAAGAGTGACTTCGCTTTTTACGTATCAATTTTACTATCGCGAGAATCATTTTCCGTCTCAGAAGCTCTATAACTCAAATATATTAACGGCATTAAGTACAAAGATGGACGCGTCAGCCTGAATACAAGCTGCAGGCGCGTAAAAGGGACGACAAAAGTCCACGGCGCGTTGCGATTAACTGAAACAACCGACTCGACAATGGAGTAATCAGCGAGCTTTTCGACGTCACTATCGCCTCCTCTCGACTACCCTCTTGCCGTCCCAAACCCCCTCTTGGCTTCTGGCAATCCCTTCCTCGCGGGACGCGTTTGTTGTCGCTTCAGCAATCACTACGATCATGTCCTGTTTTGTCATATTGTATTGTTTTCGCTATTAAACGCACTGATTTTTGCGTTTTGTGATTGGATGAAACTTAAGTCATTAAATAGCGAAACGTAATTTTTTTTGGACGAAATAAAGACAATATCTTATGATAAAATATTTATAAAAATTATGTATCATTGTATGTATTCTAAAAGATAAAAAAAAGATACATTTGAATGACACAAGTTTTGCCTTTGCTAGAAAATGTAAAATATATTCCTCAAAAATTTAAGATAAAAATATTAGGAACAAAGGTAAACACACACAATTAATTGCACTTTATATAAAAACATGAAGAAATAATTATTTTTTCAAAGTTTTATCGAGATTAGAATTTTTTGAAATTCGTGTTTCTCCTTAGATTCTTTTTAAAGTATCATTCGCCAATTTGTGGTCGATTTTTCTCTCTTTCTCTCCCTTTTCGCGTGACAGAGAACAAATACTCCGTTATCTCGGAGTAGTATCATCTATTTTCCGGAGTAGATAAGTCATTAAATATCGAAACATACTTCCTTTGTTGAAGGAAATAAAAACAATATTATGTGATAAAATATTTATAAAAATTATGTACCATTATATGCATTCTAAAAGATAAAAAATACATTGACATTTGAATGACACAAGTTTTGCCTTTGTTCGTAAAATATGTTTTTTTGAATTTAGGATAAAAATATTATGAACAAAGATAAACACACATTAATTGCATCTTATATAAAAATATGAAAAAATAATTATTTTCCAAAGTTTTATCAAGATTAGAATTTTTTGAAATTCGTGTGTCTTAGATTCTTTTTAAAGTATCACTCGCCAATTTGTGGTCGGTCTTTCTCTCTTTTTCTCTCCCTCTTCGCGTGACAAGGCGAACAAATACCCCGTTATCTCGGAGTAGTATAATGAAGGATCATCTACTCTCCGGAGTAGATAAGCGGGCGCGATCGGCTGTCACGCCGTCCCATTATTAACCGCACAAATAATTCGCTCTCCAACGGTGTCCGTCAATGAGCGAGATACAGCTGATCGGCTGTCGTTCCGGGGTCCCTTTATCGGCCCTCGTCTCTTCGTCATACATTCTGCCATTCACGGGGCGTGAACGCCTTTTATCGCACGTCGCCGACAAGAATCGACGCGAGGGGCGACGTGTGTCTCTTTTCGGGCAATTCAACGCCAAATCGACACGTGAAATTCCACACGCTTCTCGTATATGCTGTCCAAAATAATTAGATGGTCATTTTACGTCATTTAGTAAGTCTGATGCCTGGGAAATTTCTCTGGCGAAAATTGGAGTTGTAAAAAGATGATCAATCGCAGTTGAATAAAGATTTAAATTACTCTCAATCCCATGTCATGACTTTTCTCATAGATTTTAATTAATTTAATTAATCAATTTTAATTAATCTAAAATAAATTCTCTACAACTATCTATTTACGTAACTGCCTTTGTTTCTGTTTACATAACTTTACTTTCTTTCTAACTTGAGGAGAGACCGTGTGAATTGGATCATTTTGAAGGAACAAGATTCTGCGACGTAAAATTCTGCGAGAGGGGAAACGCTTTCGAAATACAAAACACGACGAGGTGGACTAAGTGATTTTTCGCGATTCCGACGTCACGCACAGATGAGGGGAATAGTGGGCGGACGGGTTTCACGGCCTCTGCCTCTTTCGTCGAGCACGGGGGTGCCACGCGACCGCTGATTATACCATTCATCGACTCGGCACGGTCCGAAAGAGGGTTGCGAGCACGTAAACGCCGTAACATCTAATATACCCGCTCTTCTACCCCCTTCCATATTTCCCCCACCCCCGTTCTTCGATCCTGAATGCTCGCTCATCAATGAAACAATTCGGTTCCTCGACGATCCCATCGTCGGCTCCTTAAGATCTCATCCCCTTCCGTCTCTCGTTAATTAGCATCTCTTCCGTTTAGTAGAGCGTATGCAAAACTTTATCGTTTGCGCACACATAGTTTTTTTTTTTTTTTTAAGTATACATATATTATATTATATTATATTATCGAATATTATATTATCAAGTATTATCATAAATCGCAGGAAGTAGTGTTTGATTATTTCAATATGATATCATTTTAAAATTTTTTTCTTTGTAATTATTTTTAAAAAGATATTGTAATGTGTGTATTTGCTAAATATTATATATTATTATACTAGCTTTATATTAAATATTTTTCCAGATCAGACAAAATTATAACATATGTGATAGCTTAATAAGAAAATGTCAGCTTTAACATAAAGTTCTCATTTTTATGAGCAAAAAAGGAAGTTCTATTTTGTTCAACAAAAAAAAAATACATTGCCTATATGTCTGAAAAATTTATTCATTTCTTTTATTTCTCCTCGGCGTGACACAGATTCGCTTTTCTGCAGCAGATGAATATTTTTGCGCGTTCCGGAAATTCAATGGCGACGGCGCAGTTCCCTCTTTATGGCAACCGAGAGATGTTGTCGCCTGCACACCAGCCCCCTTGTCTCGTTTTATGCCTTCTCTCTTTATCGCTTTTATCATTCGAGACGTTATCCAACTTTTCTCCCTCGTTGCATCCCGGCCAGCTCTTTCTCTCTCTCTCTTTCTCTCTCCCTCTTTCTCTCTCCCTCTCTCTCTCTCTCTCTCTCTTACTCGCTCTGCGGAAAGACACTACTGCAGCTGATAAGATTTATTATAAGATTTGCCTCTTATGTTCGCTCTCCACGCTTGTGTATTTTCACAGCGGACAAAGCGAGAAAAGAAATTCCCCGTCTGATGACAAAAGTAGCGAGTGATCGATGAACGCATCAACATCACTTCATGTCATTTTATTCCGAACTCTTTATTTTTCTCGGCTCTCTAGAGCTCTTTTATTACATCAGTATATCTAATTTATATTGATATTTATAATTATTTATAATTGGAATTTATAATTATTTTTTATGGTGTTATTTTAGTTTTTAATTAAACATTTTATTAAAAATATTAAAATATTTTATTACAATAATTTTATTAAAAATATTGAAATATTTCATTAAAATAATTTTGTTGAAAATATTGAAATATTTTTCATAATCACATCGTGTTTATATACTTGTTGACATTGATAGATTAGTCTCTTTTTGTCTGTTAGTTTGTGTAACTAAACAATTTAACGCGTTTATCTTAAAAAAGAAAATATTTTGTTGATATTGATATGAAGCTTCCGGAAATATTTTTAAGTCCCTTTATTACATACACCCGAATGTTTTGTACTTTTCTCCCCTAACTACCATTGTCTTCGGGGACGTATCAATGAACCGGATGCACGCGGCTGACCGCCAAAACGGAAGGCGGAGAGATCAGAAAGACGACGGAGGCGCGATAATCCGCGCGTCAAACGCACCCACGCCTCGCGACCTCGTTGTCTTCTTCGTGTGTATTCGGCCAAGAGGGGACGGAAGGAGAAGGAGTAGGAAGATAGAGAGAGACACGGATCTCTCTCCACCTGTTGCACGAACCCTCGTATCCGTAGACCGCCATGTCGACTCACCCGCCAATCGACGATCGCCCATTGGATCTGCAAAATAGTGGGGGTCGTGATACCGCGTCTGATTGGTCCGCGGCCAATCTTCTCTCCCCCGCATCCTACAGGAGCCGTGCAGCAACGCCGGCAGGCACAAGACCCGTCGTCGTTCCACGGGTTCGCCCCAGATGTGCGATCCATGTCAAAGTTTCTGTGGGAGTTCTACTAGTCAGTATACCAACAGGACTCGTGTTCGTCAGACATCAAGTCCGAGCAGGAGTGCAGAATCTCTTCCCGGATTGAAGATTTGTGACAATTAAGACACTGAAGACGCAATTTTTTTTTTATAATTGAAGAAACTGAATTTACATTTAATCGAGGTTGTGAGATTCCCCAAAGACGCACATCAAGAAGCCAACAGGATCCAGTGATCAGTAGACAATCGTATAATTTTCTCGAAAGCGAATCTGAAGACAAAAAGATTTAAACGTCCTAAAACAGCTGATACTTGTCTAAGACGTGCACGATATTTTTAAAAACATCTTGAGCTTTTGAAAAATACACAATTCTTTTGAGAAACGTTCATTACTTGGATTGTCGCTCGAAGAGATTTTAAAAACGTCTAGTCTTTGCAGGATACTATTGAATATCCAAATAAATAGAACTATTTTTGGGAAATACTTATCGTTAGCTTCTTCCCAGGTGCATCGGACTCCTGAGATACTTAGAAATACCTCAAATTATTATAAAGTTTCAAGATATCTCTTAATCAACGTCATCTTCGTGCAGTGAATGTGAATTAATTTAAAAACTTCTAGAATCAAAATCATTTAATTGGTCGCAAGATCACTCAGAGTCAGTTGCCGCTAGAGTGACGTTAAAAATATTTAACAATCTGTTAAAATTTCTATCTAAAAAAAAAACGATAAATTAAGAAGATCCTCCGAGCCTTCAATGACAACAAACGTATCTAGCATACCTTATATATCCTGAAAACTTAAAAACGTATTTGTGTTTGGGATTGTTGAGGAAAAAGATTGTCAACAGAATGCCATTCACAGAAAGTTACCTTATCCACGCAAGATAGGCAAGATCTATCGATCAATCTACCGGAAATGTTGTGTATGCTAGAGATAGGCAATTAGAGCGACCGGAAAACCAAACGACACTCATGGATATGTCATCCAAGACACTACACAACGAGCACATTAAACGGCCAATGAACGCCTTTATGGTGTGGTCGCGTGGCCAACGTCGGAAGATGGCACAGGAAAATCCAAAAATGCATAATTCGGAGATCTCGAAGAGATTGGGCGCCGAGTGGAAGCTGCTGACCGAGAGCGAAAAGCGTCCCTTCATCGACGAGGCGAAAAGATTGAGGTGAGCCCGCGAAATAAAGGCTGTTTGTTTCAGTCACACGTCAGTAACTTCTCTCATTTCTGGGTCAGACATTTCTGAATTGGATACGTTGTGTCTATTTATTAGTCACTAATTCTGCCACTTTTCTCATTTAAAATGTAAAAAAATCAGTGAATCAATGATAGCCCCCATAGAGAATAAAATTTCAATCAGAACCAACATATTTAAAAAAATTAAACGTATGACAGATTTTTATGTAAAATTAACAAATTGTATACATAAGGCCAGAAGATCATGTATGTGATACAAACTATGCTTTTAAACGCATATCTTTAACATTTGAAACAAGTCTTTACAACATACACATTTTTAATTTAATTATTTAGAAATTTTCAACTAAAGAACAGTTTATTTTTTTAATATGCATTGCTTCGTTATCAAAGAGAAAGAGCTGTTGATATATTATTAAAAATTCTTCCATCTTATATCACAAAATAATTATGAGAAATATATTTGTTTATAGTAGATATGCATTGCTTTATGGAATAAATTGCGATATAAATTCATATTAATATTATATTAAGAGCTTTCTCTCTCTCTTTCTCTTTTTCTCTCTCTTCTCTATTCTATGTGTAATAATATATTCACAAATATAAAATGTAGAAGATGGGACAATTTTTTCCGGTCTTTTTCGATCGACGGGCGGCTTTTTTTTCCGCGGCGACATTAATCGCTTTTCAGTCGCAAATACTCGAGGCGAGATGATTGCGTTGATCGGGGGGGTCCGTATCAGCGGAGTTGTAGGGATCAAAAACGGCGGGAAACGGGCGCGCCACGCGATCGTCTCGTACTTCATAATACGGTACATTGTTACCGGGGATCTTAGGGGCGTGCTGTACGTTGAAATAGGGTGAGGGACGAGAGGGGGCGGTATTTATAGAGCGGGGGAGACGAGCGAGATCTCTCTTTATTATCTACCCTGAATATTTAATCACTGTTATGAGTTTATTTAGCTCGCTCGAGCCGCGCGCCGCCGATTTTTCGAGCCCGACGCGCTCTTAAAACAGCCCTGCCCCTTTCCATCCCCCCTTACTGCCCTTTTAAAAAGAGATCCCGCAATCTCGCGAGAACCTTCCTCTAAGAGTCCTCGTTACGTCTTGTAATTTTTTAAGCCTTATCGAATAACATTTTGCAATCTCGTCGAAAAAGGAGGTATTAATTTTACGAAAATAATTAGTACATGTAATAATTATTTTACGGAAACTCTGAATGGTATTTTGATATTGTCTCGACTTTGGGATTGATAAATTTACGATATTCATTTTTTAGTAAATAATTTGAATATTGCATGAATAAGAATTTATATGAGATGCACTAAATATTTGATAATATTTTTATTTTAGACGTATTATTTTAATATATGTTAATCATTAATTATTTTTTATTACTTTTAAATAAAGATATTTATCCATTTTTACTTATTTTATTTTAATTGAAAACAGATTTCTTGAAATAAATGGTAGATGCTAAGTACTTAGTACGTGTGTCATTGTCTGCAGAAGGATTTATAGCGACGAGTCTTAATAATAATATTCAATAATTGAAATAATATAAAAATCTCTCGAGGTTAAAGGAGCGAAAGAAAAGAATATATTTACGACATTTTTTGATAAATAATTTGAATATTGCATGAATAATACTTATGAGATGCACTAAATATTCGATAATATTTTTGTTTTAGACATGTTATTTTATACATATGTTAATTATTATTAATTATTTTTCATTACTTTTAAATAAAGTTATTTTATTCGTTTTTACTTATTTCATTTTTATTAATAAAATAGATTTCTTAAAATAAACGGTAAATGCTAAGTACTTGGTACGCGTGTCATTGTCTCCGGGAGGATTTATGGCAACGAGTCTCAATAATAGTATTCAATAATTGAAATAAAAATCTCTCGAAGTTAAAGGAGCGAGGGAAAGGAATAGGTTTGCGCGAGGTACGTGCAGATTAAATTTGAGAACGATCTCTCCCGCTCTCTCGCTTCTCGATCTCGTCCCGGGGAACAAGATTTAAACTGATTCCACGCTCTCTAACCCCGTGCCCGCGTTGCAAAATATCCCGACCTCGATTTACATTCCTCCCCGTCGGGAGAAAAAAAAAAGGAGGAAATGGAAGAAAGCGAGGGAGTCGCACGGGATGTTTTGCGACGCCAACGTTGAAATTTTTTTCACGAGAACGCGAATAACGCTGCGTCGTAACATCGTCTTAACCCATCCGTAAATAAATTTACGGATGCGTCCGTTGCGTCCGCGTGCAAAAGATAGACGATCGCGTCGATAAACGATAATTAAACGCGCGGCGCGAATTATTACATCTCGATTAATCCTTCGACTCTAGTTAACTTGATCGAAGGCTCAGTTTCTAAATTCTCGCCCCCACTTCCCCACTCCCCCCAAAAAAAAATTGGTATTAATTAGCGTATCGCAACTTTGTAATATTTACTCTATCTTCTATACATACATATGTATGTAGGATTGTCGTATATTCAGCATTAGATATCGAAGTTAATAAATTTTCCAAGCGATATTCATCTCTCTCGCGTTTCACTTGCCGGCGTAAAAAACCGCCAACAAAAGGCCATATTTTTCCCATTCGCAAAATTTCTGGGAGAAGAAAGAAGATGTGAGAGAAGGACCGGAGTAGGTGTGAACGTGAGAGGATAGAGGAGGGAGAGAGGAGGGGGGGGGGGCAAAATCCGAGGGAAATTTCGACGTGGACGTGTAACGGCGAATCCGCTTTTCTGGCGGATGGCAGCGACGTCGGCGACGAGGCGACGA